GATAGCCCTCGTGTAGCTTTGCGCGAAATTCAAAACAAACAAACAAACTTTACATTAGGTAAAGAAATGAGCTTTCTTCATTTTCCCACCACTTCTATATTTTCATTTCTAGCTATTTTGAAATTTACCGATGTATTCAATGGTATTGGCATTTTGCTGGACATACGTTGCAATTAACTCATTCGAAATAAAAGTGCCGGTGCTTTAAACAAGTGTGAAAAACAAATTTACCATTATGAATACGTATATCTATAGATCAAAGCCATAGTGGGCTATCTGTTGTGTTCACTTAGGGCAATCGAACCCTGGATTTTAGCGCTGTAAATACGTAAACTTACCGCTGTCCCACCGGGTGACCCCTTTATCAGAATGCCATACAGTTACTAAAACTGTACGAACATTGTTTGACATTTTACTCAGCCTTAAGCTTCTTATTGAATTTAAACATACCAGCTCGTGTTGGGCAGTAAAACCCTTACCTGATCAGCTGAAAACTACAGCTTTTAGTAATATTTGCCCTGTTAGCTCCGGGGCAGGCGTGTCCGAGTGATTAGGGTAGCGACTATAGATCGACGTTCCATGGTTCGTGTTCTTTGACTTAAAAATGAAAAAATCGCGCTTCCCTCTTTGGGTCCATACCTGCGTTAAAAGAGTGACGGTCAAACCCACTATTAGATTAGAGTAGTCGAAGAATTGGCAGTGAGTGCTGTTGACTAGCTGCTTTCCATGTACTGTATCAATTACAAATTAGGGTCAGCTAGAACAGATGTTACTTGAGTAGCTTTGAGTGAATATCCTAAAACAAGCTCACCCGTTCAGTTAGGTCGACCAGAAAGATTGTCATCGAATAATGTGACTTTAGCTGTGGAAAATGGTTCGGTGCAGTTTTTATTTTTACAAACACGAACACATTTGTACTTTTTTTCACACTGAAACAATTTGAAGCTATTTAACTTTCCAGCTAAATTTATCTCTCTTAATATTAGATCTGATAACATATCTTATGAGTTAATATACTTTAGTAACTAACATAGCTATAAATCTTTAATGTAATATTTCATTGTTGTCTTAATGGAAAATTCATTTTCGATAATGGGTTAATAGATTACATAGCACACATATATATATTTAATTATTTGGGTATTTAGACACTAAAAAATGCTCATAACGTTGCATAAGTTATTCGAAACGTGTCACGTGTTTCGGATCACCTATTATTTTCAAACAGTTGATCTTGTTCGTTCAACTTCTGAACGTGTTTGGTGTCAGCTGAATATTTTCACTATTCCTTTGAAGGGATGTTCATGGAGGTTTTTGCATCCCTCGTCTATTCACTTTTCATTGAAGTTTAGCTGGGCAAAAGTCCAAAGCAATCACGTGTTGAATGTGTCGCTTTCCATGTGATGTTGATTTGTAAGTAGAAAGAAACGTTTTTACAGTGTGACGAACAAAGGAAAGACTCGAGAAGCCTAAAATATAGTGCAACAGTTCAAGGTACATAGAACGGCTTTACTTACAGGTGTGCATGGTTTCTTCTTTGAGCTTTATGGGTAGATTGTTTGGAACACGCTTTTTCTTTCAGGTCCACCCAAAAGCCAATAAAGGTATAGCAACGATGTTTGGTCGTTTGTAAAATTCCACTCTAACCACAGAAATCCTCTGATTGTTACTTGTATACTAGCTTAAAGAATCCACTTGTGACAAAAACTACACGGCGGGCGTTTATTTTCCTTAAGAAGACGATTTATAGCAGCACAGTGCCGTCTGTCATTCTACATAATTTAGTACCGTGTCGGGTGTTGTGTCCACTAAATGGAAAGCGTTGACATTCTAGACAGGGACAAACGCCCCCTGGGGAGATACATCCATCAGCAGAAACAACTGTGCAGTAAAACAGAACATCTGGGACATTAAGAGTCGCATTTATTAAAAAAATCCCATACAACTTGCGACTTATCAAGAGAGGGCAAGTGTTTACATGATTTAATTCATTCACAAAATAAAAACTTAGTTACAGGAAGATAAGGATAATAACAAAGTAAGAGAAACATAACATAACTTCAAAATCAGGGATGGCCAGTGCAGATAACTCTCTAGTAACTTTGCGCAAAATTAAAAACAAAATAAACAAGCATTTTCAGACTTCCTGTTTGCAATATCCTGATGTTTATTTGGAAACAATTAGATATATGTTTTTATAAGGGTGGCCTACTAATCAATTGTTCGTTTTATAATTTTCGTGCAAAGCTACGCAAAGGGCTGTCTTCGCATAACTATCCCTAATTTTGAATTTTATTAGAAAAAAAACACATTGATATTTATGTTCAAAATCGATATCTCAATTCACTCTTTCATCTCCCTGGCAGGCCCTGAGAGGATTTTCAATTTACTCTTTCATCTCCCTGTCAGGCCCTGAGAGGATTTTTAATTTACTCTTTCATCTCCCTGGCAGGCCCTGAGAGGATTTTTAATTTACTCTTTCATCTCCCTGGCAGGCCCTGAGAGAATTTTCAATTCACTCTATTATCTCTCTGGCAGGCCCTGAGAGGATTTTCAATTCACTCTTTCATCTCCCTGTCAGGCCCTGAGAGGATTTTTAATTTACTCTTTCATCTCCCTGGCAGGCCCTGAGAGGATTTTGCGTTTTAATTGAGAAATAATGATATTTATACAAACAAAAGTATTCTATGGCAAATAGTTTTACATATTATTCCGTAATAGTTATGTTAAAAAAGGTTAATCAAAAGTGAAAACAGTTAGGTCTTTTTTTAATGTAATAGAATCGCGTATTATCATAATATCTCAAAATAAAAGTAAATTTCTTCCATTTATTTCAGGGCGTAAACTGCAATGTTATGCACCAGTGAACGAACACAAAAATTTCCACAACCACATTTTATTCAGTAACATGTTTACTTGAAATTTAAGTTACAGATACATCAAATTAAAAACAAAATACTGAGGAAACTAAATATTTGACTACTCTATCGACAACGTTTTAAGTATCGCGGTTTCCACTGGCTTTGCTTGCTTTATTTTAGAATTTTCGCGCAAAACTACACAAGGATGATAGGCACAAAGCTGTCCCTAATTTTGAACTGATATGCTAGAGAAAAAGATAGCTAGTACACAACATTCATTGCTTACTCTTGGGTTACATTTGTCTGACCGAATAATGGGATTTGACTGTTACCCTTATAGCGCACCTACGGCCCCAAAGAGTGCAGCACGACTTTACAGCAACGGAACACGATCCTTGAAATGCCAGATTCGTAGTGCGAGCACGTTAGCCACAAGGCCATGCTATCCAGGTCCCCATTAGTTGGTTAAAAATATACTTTTTGATTACTGCGACATCTAATGGTTTGATTTAAAAATATAAATATTTTGTTAATTTCGGATCTAAAACTGTTACAATATTTTAAAAACTCCCTAAAAAACGTACACACACACACACTCTCAAACTGTAAAGACACAAGAAAGATACTATTGGGTATTTAGTAAATATTAACTTCCAATCAGATCAAGCTGCTTCCCCAGTTGCACAGCGGCATGTCTACGGACTTACAACGCTAGAAATTGCGTTTCGATACCCGTGGAGGGCAGAGCACATATAGCCCATTGTGTAGCTTTGTGCTTAACTTCAAACTGATCAAGTTATCTACTTAGATTGAAACTAAACTCTACCTGGTAATGAGTATAGCGAATTAAATATACTTATATTACGTTCTTCACTTATAAAGATTAGAATTCATTGTTTCATCAATTGGGTATCTTTGCTGTTAATGATATTTTCGGCTGCAAACCTAATTTATAAGGGCATTTATAAAATTATATCTATATATATATATATATATATACATATTTAAGTAAATTTAATTAAATTATGTTTCTATTACTTTAATGCAGAACCTATCAAATCCTAAGACAATTGTTGGAGTTCAATTACATTTTGTGAAGTAGAACGAATTCATGCAATATGACAGAGTTTTATTTATCTGTTCTTGTTTTG